TAACAGTAACAGTAACAGTAACAGTAACAGTAACAGTAACAGTAACAGTAACAGTAACAGTAACAGTAACAGTAACAGTAACAGTAACAGTAATAGTGATAGTAATAATAATAATAATAATAATGGTCGAGGTTACGTTGTATGAAAAAAAGAGAGCATGAGTAAATATGTCGATAATTAGCAACGTTTGTTTGGAATTTTCCCAACAAAGAGCGCTAATTATCAACATCTTAAGTTGCGCCAGCGTAAGTCGACTTATGATTATGCTTATGGCGACAGTGAAAACCAGCCTTTGGTCAGCGGTTCTAGATCTCATCCGTCAGTGACATGAATCCATCAACAATTAAATTAAGACTGGCAACTTGACAGTTACATGAAAATGATAGCAAGTCAGTGTACCATTAAGAAACTGTTTCAGCGAAACGTACCTTAGGCAGAGGCAAAACCGGCCGCTCCTTCGTTTTCTTGCCTTCTTTATCTGTTTTGCCTTCCGTTGCTTTGTCGCCTTCCTTTGCTTGTTCACTTTGACTTTCACTCTCTCCTTCCTTTGCTTTTTCGCCTTGATTTTCGTTCTCGCGCTCCTTGTCTTTCTCACCTTCATTTTCATTTTCCCCTTCCTTCTCATTCTCGCCTTCCTTGTTCTTATCGCTGTCCTGGTCTTTCTCGCCTTCTCCTTCTTTTTCCTCCTCCTCAAGTACATCAGGAGTAAACGAGTACAGTTCACGGAGATCCGCTGCCGTGAAGTGCCGCTCAATCTGCTGTTGATCCACCACACGGCCTGACATGGAGAGCTTTGTCACCTGTAGCGGTAGTATTTGCACATCAACACACAAACACTGGTACATAAAACTCAAGACACCCTGTCGATCAAAATGAATAGCGAACAAACCATACTAAAAAACAGACGAACTCTACACCGAATGAATAAATTGAATCATTGTCATATGAGGAATAACGTTTGTTCGTTTTGGTCCGTCTGCCTGTACTACAATCGCTAAACACTACTTATTAACCGAGAGTGAGGTCTTAACGGGGAATTCTCGAGACCTTGCCGTATTGACCGAGCGATAGCGAGGTCAATACAGCAAGATTTTCTCGTAAAGACCGAACGTTCGAGGTTCATAAGTTGTTTATTATATGGCTTTTTGCTTTGTTTTTGCAGGCCCGTAATCGGCCCGGGGGAATTATGGGAAAATAATGCCCTAGAATTAGCCAATCAGAGCGCGTGTTATATCGGCTACAAATACAAGCCATATAATAAAATTACTTATTCAATTTCCACAGACTGATACTAATGTTGTGGAGTCCATACACTTAGTTAACTACTAACCTGTCTATCATAGATTTTCTCCTCCATTGTTCCCTGTTGACAAACAGGAAAAAAAAAATAATGTCGATCAACTTACTAGTTGGTGGGTACTGAATTTTATCAAATACAGGCAATATTCAAGTAAAAGCAACCTGCTGGAGTAACGCATTCACAATGAAGTTCTCCATCCCTCTCATAGGCCAGTTTCAATATTTTAAAATTCTAATGTGGCTCCGAGGCTCAGGCGATGAAAAATATATTTTTTGCTTTATTCCCCTAAGCCTCAGAGCTAAGTATGAATTTTAATATATCGAATTCTCTAATTCTGCTATATAAAACTGAAATAGCAGAAACGGAATGCAGGAAAGTATTGGAAATACTTTTGACCTACAATGAGGGTTGTTAAAGGTGCTCAGCCACGGTACTGATTTTGGCCACGTACAAAAGTAAAACCTAAAAATAGTATTTTACTAAGACATAAAACTACCAAAGAGATAGTAATAAACTATTAAGGAACAAGGATGGTTAAGGATGGAGAACATTGACACAGATTGCAAACGACGAACTTGAATTTAGGCTAAATTTTTCGAGATGTGCAAACCTTGACGAAGCTCCTTTATGCTTTGACATTGACTTATCAGCCAGACGATTGCACAGAGAAGACTGGGCAACAAATAGATGAATATTGACTCGTTGTTACTGAAGTTGATGTTTAGTGATCACGTTGCTTACCTGTGCGATAAGTCTGTACACGTACACAGCTTTAGTCTGTCCAAAGCGATAGACTCTGAAGATGGACTGTACATCATGAGAAGGGTTCCAAGACACGTCAAACACAACCACTCGATTGGCTGCCACAAGATTGATCCCCAGGCCACCAGCCTTAGTCGAGATGAGAAACAAACGAGCACTGAAAGAAACCAAACACAAGTCAAGTGATAAAAACACCTTGGCATTACCTCAGCTTTCATCGGTTTTCCTACATACTTTCCTCGCGATCGTCATTTCATAAACGGAAAACACTTAGATAAACAACTCTCTTTTTCTAAACATGTTGGTTAGAGACCAAATACAGTTATTTAACACAGTTTTCCATTTTGTTTCAGTTCTCCAACAAGACGTTCTATTATATTTCAAAACAGAAACACGATCCCAAATGAAATAAAAAATCTTTTTCTGAACATTTTCCTCTTGACCAACATTTCAGAAACGGAAGACATTTGACTACAATGTAAGTATCTGTTTTAAAGTGCAATGCTGGTGACAAACTGAATGCGGTTATTTAATGCAGTACAAACGGGCTTTGCACTGATCAATTTTCTGTTCAGTTTATAAAGTCAGTACTCGCTAACCTAAAAATCGCTTACACGTTTCACTCAGAGGACGTTACTAAGCCAAAAATCGACTAAAATCGAGGAAATCGCTAACTGGAAATGACAATACGTAGACACTAAATTGTGTGTGAAACATACCAGATCACCAAATGAACTTGTCGCTACCTGTAAAAACATCAAGGCAGTACTCACGTTTTGTTGTCCTCGTCGTTAAAGATGTCGGCCCATCGCTGCCTCATGTTCACACTTGTGGAGCCATCCATACGAAAGTAGTCACAGCCTCGGCACCAGTTCTCTCTATCGCCACCAATTTCCCCGCCACCCAGCATCTTCTCTATCAGATCAAGCGTGACAAGACTCTGGCTGAACACTAACACCTTATCATGCACAGCTTCAGCGTCAGCCAGGACTTCCATCAGGAGCACAAGCTTGCCGCTAAGCTCCACGTTGTACTCGTCGTCTTCTTGCATAAACTCGTCGTACCACTCTTTCTCCTCCTCGATCTCCACGTCAGAACCATCCTTGAATGATGTCCCGGAACGTGTGCTACCGTACACACTGCCGTTCGTTTCGCTGTTGCCCTTGCTTGTAGACGCTTTAGCATCATTTATCACTATGGCATCCTTCTTGTTGTTGTGCTTGCTAGAGTGAGGCTGCTCGCGGTCGTCTTGTCGAGAGGTACTAGCACCATCGTTGATGGTCACCACGGTGATGTCCTCGCCATCAATATTCACTGTGGAAGAGCTGGCCTTGTTTGATGCCGAATCTGCATTTCGTGCGGCGGATGTCTTCCTCCTGGAAGACTGCGGGAGAACTTCATCCTCGCTCTCCTCATCCTCCTCATCATCATCACTGTTGTCCTCATCTGAACTCGAGTCTCTCTTCCCTCTTCTGCCGCCATGCTTCTTCCTTCTTCTTTCCTTCTCACTTTCCGATGACGACTGATCCTCCTCCTCGTCCTCCTCTGATGAAGTTGATTTCAAGCTTTCCTCTTCCTCGTCTTCTTCTTCCTCCTCGTCGGTGTGCACCACAAAGTCGTCCATGCTGTCAGAGTCGACGAACTTCTCTGGTCGTCTGAGGGCTTCAAGCTTCAGGCACCAGGGATGAGTCCAAATGCGCATTAGAGCTTGGTAATCCGAGAAAAGTGAAACACCTGAATAGAAGACAAATCAAATCAGCCGTTACATCGCGTCAGTGATGAACTCTTGTAAGAAATGTTCCCTTACGACCTACTTTAGGGTTAAAATGCTTTGATTGATCGGAGAGTTCACCTTTCGTGCTCAATTCACGTCCTATCTTCCCAATTGTTGATCCAAAAGCCCTCAAACAAAACCCGGCCTGTGCTTTAGAAACGCCTGGGTAATAAAGCGACTAACTTTTGCCTTTGGGCGACTGGAAAAGCTAAACTTTTTCATATAAGCTTTAAAAGTTCTGGGCACCCAGGACTTCATGGTTAGCAACCTTAGGGCTCCTTTTAATTTTTCTCAGACCACAGCCTTGGGTTTTTGAAACCCCACATGTTTACTTCATAACCTTATCAATTTTTAGAGACATGTGAAATTTCCATTGTTCCTATACTTTTCCAAACTTCCTTCCAAATATATCAAACAATCGTGTTTTTCTGAGAAAACAACATCCCTTTCTGAACTAATTTTCCTCACCTCTCTTGCAGACGTCTCCTTCTGGGAACACAAACGTCTTGAGGTAATGTTCGTACAGTTTCCTCTGTGATGCTGACAGTCGAACTTTGATCACGTACTCGTGTTTACGAGGAAGAAAAGGTACCAGTGCTGAGTAATCTTTTCTCTGTCAACATAATGACAAAGGTCAAGTCAGTACAAAAGTCAAAATATACATCAAAACTGGTAGAGTTCTTGTCTAATATCATGTACTACATTTTTGTATATCTTTTACATTTCTGTTCTTATGTAAAGATATGCATTTTTTTCCTTCTGTGTAATAACAGTGTGTGGCGTGGTCACGTGGGTTAAGAACACAAAAAAACAATAGACCAAAAACCTAATAAGCGAGTAAAACTGACAGACTGACTGAATCATTGGTCGAGGGATCATCTAGACACCCAAACTGACGGACATACGGCCGAACGAACAGATAATATCACCTCATCAAGGACTTCCGCGAAAAAACATTCGATTTTCACAAAACAAAACTCTAAGTTTTTTTTCTTTTAAAACCATTCAGATTTGCAGCCATTTAGGCTCACCATGCGCCTTAGTATTCTTGCAGTTTTTCGTCATAACAAAAAAGTTTTGACTATATTCAAGCAAAGCGTGAGAAATTCCTTCGAACTTTGTAACAAACTCGGATTAGAGCCAGAAAGATGCGTCATAGTGATAACAAATTACTAACACTTTTTACTTTCCTTTCTTCTTTCTTGTACACTATAACACGCAGTGACAACTCAAGTCTAGGCCAAGCGAGCTTGTCAGCCTTTTCAATAAACTAATTATTAGCAACGCAAAAATAAACTATTCTTTTGTTCAAAGCTCCCAAAACCCCGCTTAATTCCTGTAGTTTATTTGTAGATAAAACGTATGAGCACTTTAACAGCGGCAGCAACATAAAAGTTTGGAGGTCTGCACCGTGACCTGGAGGAATGGAGGTCTTTTCTTTTGTTTTTCGCTGATCTGCTACTCACCTGAACACACCCCGCCAGCATCTTGTGAAGCACATGACATCGCTGCTTCATCAGCTGAACATCAAGTTCGGTTGAGTCAGCACATTGGCCGTTTTGGATTGGATTCACAAACGTGTTGGTAAACTCTTTGCGTGTACCAAGGAGATTCGGTTTCACAAAACTCACCATACAGTGATCTGCAAATGTACAAAGTAAAATCTATATCAACATGACACGAGTGTAGGGGGTAAGGGGGCTTTGTGTGCACCTTGAAGGAAAGGTAAATGTAGAATATGCTTGATTACCCGCCACTGTTTGAGAAAGGAGCCGGCAGTCGAGTTGCTCAAAAGCAGTGTACGCTAACCCAGGATTAAAGTTAATTGGAGAATTAATTTCTTTTGTATAAACATGTTTTCCACTGCAATGTTTTGTGTAGTTTGAGATTATTTGAACTCAAAAGTGAAGGACAAACAATACAAAAAGAAAACGTCAACGAGAAGTTACATAACTGAAATCAAAATTCTCGCTAATCCTGGGTTAGCTTAATCGACTTTGAACAACCTGGCAAGACCAGACTCGAGGAGGTGCAGAAATCAACCGCACCTAGCATGAAGAAAGACAAAAGGATTCATTTTCTGAAATAACAGAATATTTTAACCCTGAGATACATACATTCAATTAGATTGTTCTGTAAAGGAGTACCAGTCAATGCAATACGTCTTTTAGTCTTGATGCCATTGAGTGCTTTGGAAATAGCACTGCCATCATTGCGCAGGATATGGCCTTCGTCACAGATCACTAAATCAGGACCTATCATGTTATGATAGCAAAACATCATTTTAGTAATGGTGTAGATCGGTTTTCAATTGAGTGTTGAAAGCAATCGGGCAATCACTTTGGTTTTGGTCTTGGTTTTACTACGGTTTAAGATTGGCTGAGTAGACTACTTTATAAGTAATTGGTAAAGGTTTTCGTTTTACGACATTCATTTGAAAACCACTCTAGTATAAATCTATAAATTGCTGATACCTGAATTTCAGTTGAGGTACTTTCACCACTAATGTTGATGATTGATGCAATATATCAAACATGAAAGACCGTGTTTGACCACATTTCTAAACAACGAGAGGTGAGTTGAAAATATGACGCACAGCGGAGTATTTTTGACGAACTTTGAGGTGTTTGGAAATGTGGTCAAACACTGTCTTGCCTACTTGGTATATCTGCTCAATCAAAACTAAAACTAAGGAGAAAACGGAGAAATAAAATTGTAAAAATCTATGCTAATTAAGATCAGAATATCCAATTACCGTCACGGACATGATTTCCCTTATTTAAACTTGATGAATTATTAATGAGAATCTAGTACGTCAAGAGATGAGAACTGTACAGCATCAACTGAAGTAGTTCTTTCCAGGCAATTGTAAGATGCAACTTCAGGCTAAAGTTGAGACCACTTTTGTGAGTTACAAAAACAAAAAGAAAGTAATTGGGGGTAGCGGGAAGGACACAGAATCAGGAACAGTTTTTCAGTCAAAATCCTCTCCTCCCTTGAGATCTAGAGCGCCAGGTGACACACATTGCAAATGTATCAAATTTTTCTGACAACATAAATATCAAATTGCGACTCAAATTTTCATTGTTTCCCCTTTACAGCACTTAAATCTGTAACTTTCATTGATTTTGCAAAACTCTTTTAGACTGAAATTATCTCTACCTGGATCAACAAGAGCTTCCTGGAATATTTTCTTCTGAGTTTTACTTCTGACTCGATAGCATTGTGACAGATTACGGTACAATGAATAACCCATGACCATCACACCACCATACCGCAGCCAGTGTTTGAGCATGTCTGACCGCCGCCAGTTGTTAGCACCAGCTTCCTGGAGGATATAGACCTGTGGAGTGAGCATAAGAAGATTTGAAAACAACCTTGGATCGTCAGTAGCGTTAAGAATTCTATTCAGCTGCTTAGCTGGGAAACATGATTCTTTTTAGGACCTATAAAGGGGTGGGAAAGGATGGGGAAATCAGCAAGAGAAAATCAGTAAAGATGTACTTTACATGTACGTGTAGGCAGGTGTTTTTTCATATTTAAGGGCCAGGCATCAGGCAAATTGACTGGCTGTGGGGATGATTTTGCCTGCCTGGTTTGACCATCCAGAGGACAATCTTACTCACAAAATTGCTCCTGCTGACAACGTTCATGAAAACCCTGCATGTAGGAAACCGTTCAACACCACTCATGTTAAATCCTACATCTCTAAAGCAATTAACATTATTTTAGAAATAATTGTAACTAAGGAATAAATAAAAACATGAAGTTTCTTCAAAACAACAATTTCTCTGTTTACAAATCCTTGTTTATGTTTGAAACAATCGGAGAGCAGGGCTAGACTTTCAGGAAAAAACCTTGGACCCAGCTGGCCCCTAGTTTTCAGATTTAGCCACTTACGCAAGTATTTCAGTGAAAGGGTGAAAAATTAGTCGCCAGTGAACAAATGTGGTCATATTGGTGACCCCAGTGGTTGCAACATCAAGCTCTGGAGAGAGGTATGCAGGGAGTTTATTAAAGAGGTTTTTAAAGGCCAGGAGTAGGGGTGTAATTTTATATACTTCTTTAGTCAGGAGGTAATTACATGGTAATTCTCCCTCTTGATCATGAAATCTTATGAGCCAAAAACACAGCTTATCCTCAAAGTCTTGCTGTCAGCATGATCTTCACTAGTGCAAAAGTACTGACCCACATTCAGAGGAATGTACAATGCAGAGATCTATTGCAATCTAGTTTAATTCATAAGGCTGATCTTGAGGAAAAAGTGAAAATATATTGCACAGCTTACAGCATGAATGTCAAAACAACTTAGTTTTACCTCCAGCCTGTCATCCACAGCAAGCCACTTTTCAAACTCCACTTGCCAGTTTAGAACAGTGTTGAGTGGAGCTACAACAAGCACACACCGCATGTTGATATCCTTGTGTGTCATGAGGGTGTGGACGAGAGCAACGACCTGAAAAAGACATGCTTGTTTCAAACATACAAAGAAAGTATCAAATGTGTCAGTGAGAACGTTACATTGCAAAGTGAAAAAATATGTTCAAATTTGCATTTGAAAGGGACGTGGCATCTAAAATTTTTCAGTTAATGTCACAAGGTTAACCATTAAAACAGTCATGATAAAAAATACAAGTCATAGACCAGTTCCACAGTCATTGAATGAGCATAACAAGTTTCTGATGATAAATTTTAAAAAGTTCTCAAATACCAGGAACTTGAAAAGTTCCTGGTATTTGAACAACACCAGTTTTCAACAACACCAGTTGTTGAAAGGTGGATAATGCTATCCACTGTATAAATGACCATCCAGCTGATAATGCGGTGCATTTTGTTAACTCTTACCCACTGGATAGTGATTTAGCTAGTGGACATCATTATCCAGTCTTCGAACAACTGGGGCCAGAATGTTTCATAAGAAGTGCATGTGAGCTTACTAACTATTAGGAATTTTGCACATGTGTATAAAAGAGTTGGGAGGGCTAGCTCTTGCATAAAAGGAAGCTACTGTAACTAGGAATACACTGTACCTGTAGTGTCTTGCCAAGTCCCATACAGTGCGCCAGTATACATCCACCACCAGGTTCCTCCTTCTTCCATGAACTGAGTGACTCAATCACACAGTCATACATGAATTGAATTCCTTTACACTGGTGTGGTTTGAGGTGCTGTAGAAGGTCCTCCTTTACCTCCACAAGGGGCTCCTTAGTGCTTGAGTCAGACTCCAGCACAAGCTTGCTCACCTTGGCAGATTCACCAGGCATGTCATCCAGTTCGTTATTACGAGTCCTTTCTAAAAGGCGTTTTCGTCTCTCCTCCTCAAGTCTTCTTGCTTTTCGTGTTTCCTCTGCAAGCTTACCATCTTCAAGAAGTTTGCGGATTTTCTTGCGACCTTTCCGTTTTGATGGACTTACGTCCTCTTCTCCATCTTCCTCAACCTCTTCCTCATCCTCATCATCATCATTTTTTTCCGATTCATCACTATCTTTCTCGATAAAATGTTTCTTCTGTCTTTTCTGTTTACCTTTTGCCTTCTGTTTCTTCTTTGTTTTGTTATCATCCGATTCAGAGCCAGTCTTTTCAGCTCTACGTCTTAATCTGCCTCTCTTTTTCCTGCCTATCTCTTCTTCTGAATCGTCATCATTTCCTGATTCCACCTTTTCCTTTTTGTTTTGTCGCTTCTTTTTCTTTTTGGCAGGGACATCACTGTCAGAGTTTTCCTCTGTTGATTTTGATTCATCCTCTGAGGAAGTTACCTTGCGAGGACGTTTTCTGGTTTGTTTCTGAATAATGTTCACCTTTCTCGAGCGTGTCTTCCTTGCTGCTTTATCACTCTCCTCCGCAGACTGTTCTTCAGACTCTGAAAGAGCTTTTTTCTTTCCTTTGCCCCTTTTCAGCTTCTTTACCTCTCTCTTTGCCTGACTGCCTTTTCCTTTCACCATAGAAATAAAGTTTGCAAAATTTGAATCAGAATCAGAATTCTCTGAATTCTGATCAACATGTTCATCCTTGCTCCTTGATTTTCTGGCAGTTTTTGAGCTTAACTTGGTGTTTTTATCTTCACCTTCAAAATCTGACCCACTTGACGAATCTTTACTAGTTCTTTTCTTCTTTCCTTGGCCTTTCTTCCCTTCACTACTGAATTGAATTTTTATTTTAGTTCCATCATTCACTTGTCGCTTCTTTTGCTTACCTTTCCCTTTAGAGGGTTTGCTAACTTGTGTATCATCACTATCACTGTCATCGTCAATCACTAAAACAACCTCTTTTATAGAACCACTTTTCTTGCCATTTTTTCCCTTAGAACCTTTGGTCTTCGACTTCTTTTCATTTTTCTGATCTGAGTTGTCATCTTCAACGTTAGAATCACTTTCAACAACCTCTGGCAAAGTCTTCTTGGATGGACTCTCAGCAGGCGATAAAGCTCCATCAGAGTTCACGCCTATATTTTCAGTTAAACTACTAAGTCTGTTGCGCCGTTCCTTTTGGCTTGGAGTCTCCACAAGAGAAGGTCCCTTTTTGGTTTTGAAAAGCGTCTTTTGAGCTTTGCGCGTTTCCAGAATGTTCATAATTCGATTGTTTGCTTTTATGAGCTTTGATAAAGGTTTGGAATTACAACAGAAGCATAGCCATTCTGTGTCATCTGGTGCATTCACAATTTCCTTGAGCACTGACTTGCCAAAGTTACGCTTTATACAAGGTTTACAAAATGCCTTCTCACAGTTGTCACAGCAGAGAAGTGATCCTCCGTCCCCACACCACCGGCACTGTTCTTCTACTCCAAGTTCATCACGGGTAAAAGGGCCGGAATTGTAATACTGACTGCATTTCTACATAAACAATGGAAACAAACAAAAAATAAAACAAAATTCAACAAATTAAGTCCAAGAAATTCCAAATTAATTACAAAGTACCATACTTTAAGAGGTCAAGGTGTTATCACAGCCTTCCCTTATGGCTTAAAAAAGTACAGGAAAGCCATTTGAGGCCACCATTTGAGAAGAGATACTGAAGAACAATATAATTTACACACTAACATATTGCCAACAGACAAGGCTTAATGCTGGTTTCTCTAGCATAAAAAGGCAGCTAAGAATGTTACAACGACTTCCCATCAATGTCATGATGCTAGTCAAAATAGGTTCCATCTTCTCTTCTCCTATACCACACCTCCCCTGCCCTTAAACATTTCTGTTATGTTTCTAAGGCGCCCTGTGAGAGTGCAGAATTTTGCCTAAAACTATAAACCAACCACTCTGGTCAGATCTCAAGCCTAGCTTGCTTTAAATGGGATTAAGCTGTCATGCTTCCTTAACTTCAATAAGAACATAATCAAACCCAGGATTAAAACTTGAGGTATAATTTTTCTTGTACAGCTGTATATTAATGCTTATGTTTGCATAGTTTGAAATTATTCAAACTCAAAACTGAAGGGCAAACAATGTAAACAGAAAACCTCACCAAAAAGTTACAAGACTGAAATCAAAATTCTTGCTAATCCCAAGTTAGCTCAACTGGGCTTTGAACAACCTGGACCAGGAGAATACTGAATTTTGACAATTTTAACAACAATCTAGATTACAATGCACAGACACTTACTTTACAGATCAAGACATTCAAATTCGGGTGTGTGCAGATAGTTCCATGTGCAGGATTCACATTTCTTCCACAAGCTGTGCACTGTATTCTTCTTGGCAATTCTACAAGTGAAATGCAACATTTTTTTTCCCATCTTTATTTTACAATACTGAATAGATGTAAATTTTAAAATTCTGTAAATAGTGCACAATAAATTGAAACTGAATTGAACTGAATTGAATTGAAATTATTGGACAGGGGTACATGTAAAAAAAGTATTGTGATTTGTTAATACATGTAGCTGGCAATCAATATTATTATTTGCCAATGCTAAAGGCAAAGGTACAGTAATGTACTTGTATATTATGATAATCAGGGCTGTCAATAAGGGCCGTAAACCATAGCACCTGTTACAGCTGAGCATGCTTGATGTGCCCTTGTTGTTATGGGTCAATTTACCTGTAGTTGATACAATAACAACCCAAAAAGATAAGTTTGTTGCAGGGGTGAAGATCAAGGCTACTGATAGATCAAACCTTAATGATAGCCCAGATTATATGATAGAATTGTATAGGAACTGTTTTAAAATCTTTTATCTTTCTGTTGGTTTGAATTTACATCACTTTGCCTCCGGTGTGTTCATTTATTGATTTGCTTCTATTTTAATAGTCTCAATATAATTCATACACCCTCAGTAGCTTGTGGACCCTACAGCTCATCTCTTTTTGTTAGAGTTTCTGTACAGTCTACTAATAGTGACTTAACGACCATCGATAATGTGACCAGGAGTTACAAAGATGGTTGTTCTGCTTACTTCTACCAAGTACCCCACCCTCGGACCCCTTCACAAACCTCATCGACTCTCAAGAGTGGTGTAGTGTTAAGATTACTGTAACATCTCACTGACTCTCCAGAGTGGTGACAATATGTTTGAATAATAATTATGTAACCCCCACTATCTTACCATCAGCATCTGAACTTTCAGAAAGGAGCTTCTTCTTTTTCGTATTACTGCTTTCCTCTGTCTGTTTCTCCACCTCCTCACTGATGTTGTAGCCAAGCATCTTTTGAAGTCCTTCTAAGGAATTCTCATAGTTTTCTCCCGGTTCTTGCTTCACCAGTGGTACAGAGTCTGATGGCACCTCCTTGCTGTTGCAACCCTCTCCATTACAAGACACTTCTTGTTCATCATCCACTACCATACCATTCTCAGTGGTACATGTTTCACCAACTGTGTCTACTCCTTCGCGTGTTGCTTGGGGATCTGCTTCATTGTCAGAGCCTTTTAATGTTGACTTCTGTTTTACTTTCCTGTGCAATTTCCTGTAATACCAACAAGTCTGCGTCAACTTAGAAATTACTAATTATAAGTTTAAACACAACTGTATTGAAAATTAATAATAAAGCTTGGCAACTGCTGGTGGACATAAATCAAGATTTCTCTTCAAGGATAGGGCCAAACTAAAAACGTGGAAAAGTACATGTAAAACGACTTCACTTGTGCAAGTGGGTCAATCAGGTTGGCACAAGTTTATTTCCTTTGCTTGCCTGAAGTAACTAGGAGTATATGTGCTTCTACTCTCTCCTTGTTGGAATGTTAGGACATGCAGGAGACCTCCCAGAATCTTTTCACCACAATTAGCTTGCACACATGTATAGAGATAGGCCCAATGACAGCCTTTTAGCCAGAATTTGAAAAGTGGCCGTCCAAAATATGCTACATAGGGCCTGCTTAAATGAGCAATTTATGAGGCAACATATGAAAAATGAAATAATTTTCTATAGAAAGTGGTCATCCACAGGGCGCCTGGACACTTATCTGGCTAAAAGCCTGCACTATGAATGCATTGCAGTGACCCAAGCCAGGGGTCACCGCAATGGGAATGGGAGTCCAGTGCACTAACTATAAGGTTACCATAACTTAATAGGAATTCTGTATGCGTTAACCCACAATGAAAGAAGCATACAGCTCATGTCATTTTGGCCCCTCAAGCCTTATTTTCTGTCAAAAAGAAGGACGCCAGCATTGGGAAGAACTTAGACTGGACTCATCGCTCATCAGGTATTCCAAGCACTACCCACTCCTTGTTTCAAGTACTTTATGTCCTTAAAGAGCACCTGAATTTAATTGTAGGTATTACAGTTAAGACATGTGTATTTAGATGTGTATTTAGATAACAATTTCAGGTTCTAAGATTGCTCCTGCTTTGACAAAAGTCTTTTCATTTTGGATGAGGGTATTCCAGATTGTGCTGTCTCCTTACCGTCTTGATGACCCTGGAAGTGACTCGGGTTTTTCATCAGCTGTGACATTTTCTTTTTCTGCCTCCTTCTGCAAGTGGTAATTACACAAAGAATTAAATGAGCTCAGTCACGGTATTTTGAGTTATTTTGGCCACAGACAAAGTTACCTTCAAATGGTAGGAAACCTGAAAATAACAGTTTAATAAGATAGAAAAACACCAGAGATAATAAACCATGATGGAACAAGGATGGCTAAGGATGGAGAAGATTGACACAGATAACAAACGACCAATTTGAAAAATTGAGGCTTAACTTTTCAATATGTGCAAACCGTGATGTAGATCCTTTGAAGGAGTATGTGGACCAAATATATGCTTGATACTTTAAATCTACTGTATTTAGATGTAACAGTACATTAATAGGATAAGCTACTGTACATTCAAGGCAGTTATTCATTTATGTGAGGGAAGTCAATTTGTAGGCATTGAGAATGACACACCTGGGTCTTTGAAAGCCTTTTTCAACAGGTTTTTTTTTTCAGGGGGAAGGGGGTAGGGAAGGGGGATTTTGCATTTCAAAATGCTAGGGCTTGTACCTTTGTAATTGAGTTAAAGTCTTAAAACTTCTTAAAAAATTCTAGAAACATAGATTAGAGCTGGGAGCCAATTGAGATTTTGTACCAAATCATCAGAAATAATCAGGTTGTCCAAACTGATCAATCGTTGATTGTTTAAAAAATAAAGAAGCCTAAGCCATGTATTACACTGTGATAAAACACAACAGACATTTGAAAACACATGGGAAATGTAGAAAACACGAGCTGCAGGCGAGCGCTTTCTACATTTCTAGAGTGTTCTCAAATGGCCGGAGTGTTTTATCACAGTGTAATGTATGGCTTAGGCTTCTTCATTTGCTTTGTGATATAGATTGTACAAGCCGTGAGTAGAAACAAAAAAGCACACAGATTGATGAACTGACGCAATTTAATACCACTAAAGTGCTATATGCTTTGTCAAAACTTTCTGCTGCTTCACAGAGAACTCCACAACAAATTTCTTCAAAGAAAATGTTTTTCACCATCTCTAACAAAAATGTTGACTAGAGGTAATGTGGCAAAAAACAATAAAACATCAATCAGAGGGCACGCAGGGACCTATCTATATTATAAAGTTAGATAAGACTGTTGATAAGTACTCCACGTATTTCCTCAGTAGCAGGACTTTCTCTCATATCATGAAAACCAAGATATTTCGGCAACTTAGATATAGCATTTCAAAGATACTTGCATACCTTGTTAAACATCCACCATATAACCACATATAAATGGCAAATTCACAGAATTAATTAGATGAAACCATATACTTCATTTAATAAAAGCAGCCAAACAAAAGAGGCTATTGATCTGAAAGGTCTTAGGATATAAATTTAACATTTTTACGTTTGAGGATAAAAACTTTAACTAGGGACTCCTTTCAGTTATTTGGATTTTTGAACTTGATGATGTCATGTAAAACCATCTGTAAGGAGCTTCATTAGAAAGATTTTGCATTTTATGATTGGTGTGGGAGAAGGTATTTTCTGGCGGACTTACAATTTCAGCCATGTTTTATGGCCTATTGCATAGAAAATACAGTGTCACAGTTTTTTTGTTAACTAGCACATATTCTGTCAGCACTTAAGTCAAGAAAGTTTGAATGATCAGTACCCATTTTGATAGCAATGCTATGACAGCTCCTTGTCAATTAAATTCCTAAAAGTTCTAAGAGAAAACTATACTTTTCTACGTGATGTTGGGAGGAGCATTGATCTAAAGAACTTTTGTCAGAAAACTATGCTAGTCTACCAAATCATGTGATGTATAAAATGTTGATAACGTGGCACAGCCAAATGTCCCTAGTGATTTCATTTTAATTAGCACTGTGAAAAATTCTCGGGTGTCGCAGTCTATACGATTGGAAACAGTAATACATGTCACCTTACATGGAATCAAATGCCTTGATCTAGGAAAAAAAAAAGTTCATAATTAAAGCTGTTCAGTTTTATTATTTTGAAATTTATGGTCTTACCAATGACCAGTTATTTTGTGTTCAGGCAACCTGCAACATTATCTTCTTTTTTTAAGTTACACCACCAAGGAGAGGAACATACCAGAATGCTCAAAAATTAAAAATGAGATCAACAGTACTTATGTCTTAATCAAGACTAAATCATACAGTTATTTGCCAGATTTTGCCATGTACTCAAAACGAGTATTGTAGAACAAAGTTAAGAAAATGACAAGTAACAAAAAAATTCTGGTTGGTAAACTATAAAGCTTTGAGTATTCCACCTAAAAGGTAAGCTAGTTAATAGATCTCTTCCTGTGTTTATTTTTGAATTAAAAGTGATAGCACAAAAGATACCATACACCTGCAACCTAAGCGCTTTTCCCATTCATGAAAATACACGAACTAGACACAACACATATTGAATTGGAACAGAATGTTCAAAAGTTCGCCGAGTACATGCATACAGTACAAATAGAGCAAATGTTAACCTTAGTCACACCGGGT